GGGGGGGATTAGATAAAAGTGATGTGGCATTGGAGGCCAATACTTATATGGACATAGATGGTATTGCAGCTTAAAAATACAACTCAGGTATCCAACGTATAAGCAGTCACAGAAGAACCTTGATCATACCATGTGAGAATGACATTACAGGGCAAAACCCTACTTTTAAAAAAAGTATCCAGTGTCAGCCTGATATACAAGTCTAACACTGGGAGAAAGAAGGAAAGGAGAAAGGAGAGATGAATTAGTGAGGAGAGAGAGACGGTCAGAGGGGCAAGGATAATGAGGTCAATATCATCGTCATTAAGCCAATCAGAAAGATTGATGCTGAGGTCGATGACCTTGCCTACAAAAATGAGGCAATCAGAGATCTGGATATTAAATGTTCCTATTGGGCACAGTATGAAATTGTGCCCACGGTCATTTAAGTTTTAATTTACAGTTGAGCAGCATAGATTTTAATATCTAGCCCTGCCCAACCCTGTGTGTTACACAAGCACTACAAGTTTCAGATTGTTCACCTTTTTACCCACAGTATTCCTACTTAATCTCACAGGCCAGACATGTACAGAGGTAGACATGTGGTGGGCAAAACATTTTGGTACAAGAAAATTGGTACACCTTGTTTGAAACCACTGCAAAGAAACATGAAATAGGGGCCGCCCTGTCCTCCCAAACACTGGCTATAGGGGCGTTAATGCAAATACCTAATTTCAACAGCGATATTATCAACACATTCCTGCTCACAACAAGCAATGGTAGGCAGCAAGAGTATAAACTGGACATACACCAGAACAATCGTGTGCAAATGTGTGTAAAGATAAACATGCTCTTCACAGGAAAAGCTTTTTGTTTAACCATCATCACTACACTGGTAGGCGAAGTGAATAATGGGTTACAGGCGGCTGTGTGGCTTAAGAACAGAGGCCATAACATGCTACCAGTCCCCACCAAGCACTGTCAACTAGTTGCCACTTAACTGTAATATAAATTTGCCTAAAATTAAATCCCAGATATTGGAGTTCCTGACAAATGATTGTTGTTATTTTAATTATTATTATGGGTCTTTAGAGTCTAAGGACTGCCAGTTTACAATCCCTTCACCTAATTAATTATATCCCTTCAATACCCTATTTAAATCAGTCCCTGCTTTTGTTAAATGTCTAGAATAAAAAGTAGCTGGCCTTTATCCTCTCCTGAGAGCCAGGATAAAGCCCTGCTCCACACAATCAACAATGTGTGGCTTTAGACTCTCCTCCTCTCCTCGCAAGCACTTCAACCGTGGCTCACCCTCTAGTGACATGAGGCTGTTATATCATCCTCTGGCCTGTGTGGCAAAATGGGAGTGTACTCCGCTAAAAACTACACTGCAGGGAGATAAGCACAGCTGGTTGAACAGAATGACTTACAAACTACTCTGCTTACTTTCTCAACTGTTGGTTTATTTTATTGTCAATTGATCTACATGTAGAGTGTAGCAACACTTGTGTTGTTTTCTATTTTCTAATACTTATTTCAGACCAAAGCAAGGACACCGGGATAACTTGTGTTATGGGTTATGCTAACCCCACCAAAGTAAATATTGGAGTACATGTTAAGTTAACACATTCACTTGTAATATTGATATAAAGACATCTTTCCTAAGAAGCTGTTTCAAGCAAGGATACAAACGTGAAAAACCATCCCTGCACCCTAACAAGTACGTGCCTTTCTAATCTAGGGCCTAGATTACTCTGGCTCAGCCAGTGCATTCCGAAGGACACAATTATGACAGTAAACTAGATGGTGATGGATCCTGGATGGACTGGTGAGCTTTGTGTCCACCTGAGGAGAAGAGCAAACACATTTAGTCAGGACAAACAGACAGTGGAGGCAAGCTCAGCATGTGTGTGTGCTTGTGTGTTGTCCCTTGTAATACTCTGTCTCTTCCTCTTTGCTCCAATAGGGATTTGACAGAATGAATTAAGCAAACATGGGCGACAGAAACAGGCCCATTTCTGTAACTAAACATTTATCCACCAGGCGAT